TTACAGTATTATAACCAAAAAACGGTTAACTTCAAAGAACATTGTTACAAATAACTCATTTAAATTTTAAATACAAAATACTGAATAAATCTACTACATACCGTACTGATTTATATGCTTGCTATAAAATTGGTGTATTATTCATAACAAAAGATAAAATAATTAGGGCTAAAATGAAGTTCTTACAGCAACAACAAACACTTGCGTTAGTGAGTAAGCACCTGCACTGGTGTCCGCTGTTATAACCATAATCAGTCAATATTATTTCAGCTTACAGCTTTTTATCTTCAAAACTAATGTGCGGCAAAAAGTAAGGGTTATTTTCACTAGAACAAAAGTTGGTCGCATGTGAATGAGAAATTGTATGACGCGTTTTTAGAACGTAAATATAGTACACATGGTTAAATTAAATTAGTCAATTTATTCTAGGAAATAAAACGTTCTAGGATGGTGTACTGTTTTAATCCATTTTTGTACAAAAAATCTATTTCTTTAAATTTAACTACGGTTTCCAGTTGAACACCAAAGTGAAGCATCACTAGCTGAGGTCAGTGAGCGGGTGGATAACCACTTTTATCAGACTGTGTTGGGACCGAGGGTGTATGGCTCTCGAGTTTAAGGCACGAGGCTGCTCGGTATCGTACGCAGGTCTTCGGGCTACAAAAGTAGGGGAACCATCAGAGGATCAAAATTACGATGGCATGTCTTCAGATCACACTATTCTAATTGTGCGGTCTATTCTAATTGTTCAAGAAATGTGAAAAAGATCTATAAATTTGGCATTTTAAATTATATGAAATTTCATTATATATTTGAAATTATTTAAATAGTGTTAAGTGTAAAAAGTTTTACTTTTTATACATATAATATGTATGTATAGAGAAGTTTATAGTAGTTATATTTTCTTTTCATCTGTTAGCTCTTAATTGTTCCAGTAAAACAAAAATTTAAATAATTTTGTTATTTAATCACCTAATGAATTGTTTTGTTATGAAATTTCTTTTCTAAATATTTTCTTTAAACACTACCTGCTTTTTTAAAACTATTTAATAAAATATTAATACATATAATTTATTAATACCATGCATTTTAAGTTCCGTTGTTGAATTAGACAGCATTCTTATTGTGCTATTAGCACTTTTAATCTTATTGTGTGATTATAGTGTAATTTTTTTTTTAAATTTTAGGTGCAAGAAATTGTATCGCAAGAATTGTAATTGTATTGTATCGTTAGATGCAAGAAATTGCAGCTAAATTGTATCGTTACAGAATGTTGATATTGACAGACTACACAACAGATATAGATTGCGTTCAAGGTATTTTAAAATTGAAGATTATGTATCAGAAAAAATGCCTACCATTGTATAAGATGACCATTGTAAAAACAAAGGACAACGAGCATAAATATTAACGTCTGTAAATAGGTTTTCTTTCCAAAAAATTTGCTGTAAATTGCAGTTTTTTTTCAAGAAATAATACTTGTTTCCCTTTTATTAGAAGCAAAACAAATAAAATAAACTAACAATATTTCGAAATTTTCATTTTAATGCTTTATCATGACTTTTTTAAAAAAGAAAAGACGTTTTGTTAAGCTTTAAAAGTCATCTTGAAATTCAGCAATAAATCTCTGTCCCTTCTCCCAAAGCATTAATTTATCTTTTGTGCTCAAACTGCAAACTGTACAATATGGGAATTGAATTGATTATTCATGGTTATTTTTTTTTATTTTTTTAACTTTTCATTTCTTTTGGGGGTGCAAAAATTTTATGAATATAGTGATGTTTAGATATTTTTGTTTGAATAAATAACGCAAAGTGAACCAATATTGCATCTTTTAATTTTACGTTATTTTACTTCATAAACTTGTTCAAATATTTATTTATTGCATAAAATGTATGCAATTTTATTTGTGTGATTTTTATTTTATTGAAAAGTATATTCCTAAAATATATGTCCGAAAAGAATTTTTTAGATAAGTTTAAAGAAGATAAAGCAAATTTTGCAAGTAACAAATCGAAAAAGTTTTTTCTTCAAGGGGGGAATGAAGTTTTATTATATTATGAAGTTTAATAAAATTTACTTTTGATATATAATTATTTACTACTTTAAAATAAATTATAATCGTGCTAAATTTGTCAGCTGAAAAAATTTAAAAGCAAAATCGAATATAATTAACGGAGAAAATATTAGTGCATTGCGTGGAGTCCCGCAGTGGACTGATCGTTAAGACACGGTTCTCATTAGATCACCGAAGTCAAGCATCACTGGCTGCGGTCTGTGTGCGGGTGGGTGACCCACTTGGATCAGTCTGCGTAGGGACCGAGGGTGTGCGGTATGGGTGCTCGTTAAACTGTGCTACCGTAAAGTGCTCGACTTCGCGTGCAGGTCGTTGGGCTACCGAAGCGGGGGTGCCATCTCCTCTGCAGAGGATCAAAATTGTGATGGCATGTCTTCGGATCATCCTCAGGGATGTTTCCCAGACCGTCGCCAATAGCCCATTGTGCAGCTCTAGTGTAAGAAAGTACCTACCTGCCAAATAACCACTTTAAAAAGAACGGCACCTATGAACCTCGTATTGTCACAAAAGTTCAGTTGAAATTCGAAACTTCCAGAATTTGATAGTCGATAAATTTTTTATTTGGTGACAAAATAACTATGAATGCTGCTGGTAGAGCTCAGAAGATTGAAAGAATATGTACATTAACTAAATACAGCGCAGTATTGCACATCAAATTTATTGAAATGTAATTCTTTCTCGTCTATGTCTTTTACTTAATTTAGAGTTATTATTTGAGTATGCATTTTATTGTAACTATGAAAATTGCTTGTTTGTGTACCTGGCAACTTCGATGCATAATTAGTTTGTTTATATTCTACATGGCTTCATGCCTGTCTGTGCGTTAAGAAAGATAAATTATTGAAATCTTAGTATAAGAATATAGAATGCGTCACTTAAGAGAATCGATACTTGACGAGCTTATCTTACTGGAAATAGAATTTAAAAAAAGCAGTTGCTAACGCAAACAAATGCCACGTTTCAGCAACCAATCAGGATCGAGATACCCACTATGCGTCACTAGCAGGTATCCTATTGAATATTTAAAACTTGTAAGGTGAGGAGGTAAGATTTACCCAACATCTTGGGTTTACTGAAAAGGAAATTAAAAGAGGAAGAAACTTAATCATTACTATCTAAATAAATTAAATATTATTTTAGATTAATTATAATATGTGGAATTTTTTGCGCTTCGAAAAAAGTTCTAAAAGTTAAAAACAGAGAGAGACTAAAATTTATTCCCCCCCTCTCCTGAAATAGAGCACGTTTTCATTGGTGCAAAAAAAATAAAAAAAAAAATAAAGAGAAAATTTTGCGTGACACAGAAAACGCAATGCACAGGAGTAACACGTTTCCTATGCATTAAACAAAATATAGTGTCATTTCAAACCAAACTTTAAAAACCATCAGCAATCACTATTTTAATGTGAATAATTAATATTTCAATGTCAACGATAAAATTAAAATTTTATTGAAAATGACTGAGACTGATTTACCTATCTAAATATATCATTTCAAATTAAGAATATTTTTTTTATTACTAAAGTCATGGCGATCGAAGTAAAAATGATTTTTTTAAAATCAAAATTCGTTTATTTAAGATTTAAAAAAAAAAAAAAGCTTTTCACAACTATTCCTTGCTTGAACAATTTACGCAGAATGTTGAAAGTAAAAAAACTTTAAAATGCCTGGGGATTTACGCATCGAATCAAAATTATTAAAAATACGAGATTGAAATACGTTAAAGCTCGTTATAAAGAATATGACATATTGTGAAGTCAGCAGCATAAAAAAAGTTATAAAAATTGTATGTTTATAACAAGTTAAAAATTACTAGTAGTACAATAAGCTGGGATAGTCTGGTCTGGTTGGTAGGGTACTGGGCCCATATCCACGAGGTTGTTGGTTCGATCCCCGCTGGCCGAAGACTCCTCGTGTAGTAAAATGGTGACTGGTGCACGTTAAATCTGTCGAGTCACAAAGTCCTCCATGTTCCCATAACAAATCAATACCTCTGGGGGGTACTGATCCAGGAGTTTCCTTGTCTTCTCGATTAGTTCAAAATTACAAGGCTACTGAGTTGAACATTAGTAGTCGTAAATACAAAAACTGGGTCGACTGTTCAACGACGGACATAAAATAGTAGTCCAGTAAAATTAGACTTTTTCTTAGGAAAACAATTATACCCTAGAATATCTTTTTTTAATAAAATGATTTGTTATGTTGTTATAAATGGTACTTGAAAACTCCATTACTCTCCTTTATACGCCTCTCCCTTTTTTAAGTCATGTGGGGTGATTATTGAAATTTTTCAGGCAATTCTTCACCCTGAATTGAAACCAATCCCGAGACGATCGGACATCTACTAGTTTAGAAATTATAAGGCTTTCATGCACAAATAATACAAATTTGTGCTATTTATTCACGCACCTGATCTTGCTATCTAAACAAAAAAGATATTGTTTCATGTGTATTTTTTTTACGCTGAATCGAATGAAACTACACACAAGTCAATAGAGCAAAATAGTTAAAATGTACAAAAGTTTTTATGTATAAAAACTACTTCTTTTGACTCGTTCTTATGCGTACATTTCACATTTCTACCTAAAGACTATTTGAACATGTAAGACATATTCTCCGATGTAATCTGTTACGCTAATTTGAATGACACCAAAGTGATCGACCAAATTGTATAGATTCAGCTTAAAAAAAATACATAGAAAACAATGTGTCACTTGTTTAGATAGCAAACAAAAATACGTTGATATAAATACTGATAATAAAGGTTTATAAAGTGTTACCTAAAGTATCCTCCAGAATTCCCTTTAATGGTTACTAGTGGGGGTCTGTCTGTTGCGGGGGGAGCATTGTAAAGGGCGACAAGAGCTTCTGGATCGCTGCCCTTCCAGTTAAGTTCCAACCGCCTGTCTCCACCATCCGTCAGGGAAGACACCGTCAAATAAATGTCTGCAATAAATCGAGTCAAATGAGAACATTGGATTAAAAAATTATTAGTAGTTTAAAAAACTATGTTTTATTTTTGGAATTCAAAATTAGAAGTCCCGCAGTGGACTGATCGTTAAGACACGGTTCTCATCAAGCATCACTGGCTGCGGTCAGTGTGCGGTGGGTGACCCACTTGGATCAGTCTGCGTAGGGACCGAGGGTGTGCGGTATGGGTGCTCGTTAAACTGTGCTACCGTAAAGTGCTCGACTTCGCGTGCAGGTCGTTGGGCTACCGAAGCGGGGGTGCCATCTCCTCTGCAGAGGATCAAAATTGTGATGGCATGTCTTCGGATCATCCTCAGGGATGTTTCCCAGACCGTCGCCAATAGCCCATTGTGCAGCTCTAGTGTAAGAAAGTACCTACCTGCCAAATAACCACTTTAAAAAGAACGGCACCTATGAACCTCGTATTGTCACAAAAGTTCAGTTGAAATTCGAAACTTCCAGAATTTGATAGTCGATAAATTTTTTATTTGGTGACAAAATAACTATGAATGCTGCTGGTAGAGCTCAGAAGATTGAAAGAATATGTACAAAGTATGGAAATTCAGTTGAAATTTGAGGTATGGATTTGGTATTTGGGGAATTTGGTTTATTATAATTTGAGGTATTTGGGGAAATGGTTGGAATTTCGATTGACGATAAATTAGATTTGGTGATAAATTAACTATGTATTCGGGAGTAGAATTTATATGGACTAGCCATCACTGGTGCGTATCAGGATCACCTAAGTCACCTGGAAGTCAAACGTTCTATCCTAGAACCACCGCGTTCAATAGAACGTGATAGAATTTTCGTAACAACTAGTCATCTTTTCATTTTGTGTCGTAGCTAAATTAACTTTTTACCGATCTTAAAACAAAAACACTAATATTTTTCTCATAAAAGTCTCATTTTTGCTTTGAATATCAACAAAAACCGGCTTGCGAAGAGCTTTTCCTTTTCACAAACATACACAAAGCAGAGCTTTGGCGTTCCTTAGCTTTGGAGATCATCTTACTCCTGAAGGCACCTATAAACACTCAAACCGAAATAAGTTAAAAGATTCCGCCCTTTCCTGTTATGTATTAAATTAGTATAGTACAAATAGAAATTTAAATTAATTCCGTTAATTATTAATATAAATAGTAATTTAAATTAATTCAGTAAAATGCACACCTGTTATTCCAGTTGATGACTGGGAGGCAACTATAGTCCAAAGGCACTGAAGAACAAAAAGGATCATCGTTTTTCACAATCCTAAAATTAAAACAGTTACACTTAGAGTGTTGAAAAGACAAATATAATACAGATTGTTCCGTATTGAGCACTCTTACCATATATTTTTTGAATCGGCAAACATAAAGTTAAAAAAATATACTCATTAGGAGTTGCAAATTAGCATTTAAAGAAATAAAACGCTATCAAAATGTACAAATCACTATTGAAGAAGGCGGGATTAAAACACCTTGCCTCGTAGATTAACCCTTAAAACACGAGATTAATCGAAAGGCGATTATCAGATGATTCTTCTGGCCTTTCCGTTATCATGGTTTTGGTAGATCTTGCTTTTTCACCACACCAATACGTTTCAGTAAGAAATTGGATTATATTTGTGGGGGGGAAAAAAATTAGATTTGTGGAAACCATGACAACGAAGAGGGGAAAATGTGATGAGTAGGGAAGGCCTATTTCCTCCCTCCCCCTTTAAAAGTAAGCAACATTTTAAAAAGTAGATTTTTTTTTATACGAAGATAACTGCAAAATAATATTCTTTTTTCTTTTAATTTTCTTTTTTTCTTTCTATTTTCTACCTTTTTCGGACAAAGATGATGTAAAATTGTGATTGACAGTGTTGACCCCTAGCGGCAGAAAACTAATAACGGGTTTTCATAAATAATAATAATCAAAATTAGTACGTAATCGTTTCATTAGAAAAAAAAATATTAATGCAATAGTGACCAAGCACAGGCGTGCAGGCGGTCCATGATATTTCTGTCCCGCTGCTAATTACATTCATCTATATTTAGATTCATCATTTATTTAATAGATTCATTCATGTGAACAGTAAATCTCATTTCGTGTTTTCTTTTATTACTTTTTTTACTTACTTATTTTTTTATTACTTACCTTTATTTTTACTTACCTTTTTTTATTTTTCAAAGGTTCAATACTACGTTTAAATTATTTATTTATTATCTCCTGAGACAGAAAACCGAAATTTTAAATGATTATTAAGCATTAAAAAATAAATAAAGTGAATCTCCTTTTTCCACATTCCGTCAATGGCGTAACTGTGGGGGTAGGGGCAACCCCTCCCAAAAAATAATACAATCGAGTCCAAACAAACATTTAGTGAGTAAGAAAAAAGCAGCCGAACTTTTATTTTCTAAGTAAAAAAGAACAATTTTTCAAATGCAAATGAATAAGTAATGATTGCTTATCCAGGTGGTGCAATCTGAAAACTCTTTTGGAATAATTCCTTCTTTAAAAAAGAGAAAATGTTTAAAAAAGGGAATAAATGTTACAGACAAAAATTAATAAAATAAAAATACGGATCATTATAATTTCATTAGAATATTTTGCACAAATGGTAACATTTTTAAAAGTTTAATATCTAACAGAAATGGGAAGAGAATGAATGTTTATGCTGGGACCAAAACGGCAGGACGGACTAGTCCTTTTTCGTGCAAAGATGGTTTTCGACGCCAGAAATTGTAGCCAAGGGGGGTTTGCAATTAACGACTGATGACACTAAACTTTAATTTTTTTAATATGAAATTAATCAACGACTATGAAATTAATACTATGAAATTAATCAACTACTGATGGCACTAAATTTTACATTTTTTACTATGAAATAAATTTTTTGTTTGTAAATATTTGTCCTCATGCCATACATGTTATTATAAAGAATAAAATATGATTTTCAGTTATGATTAATTTGGTAATGAAGTCTCATATCATAAAAATTTAAATTTTATATACATTCAAAATAAAGATCAAGTTAGTTTATTTTGTCCAATTGACGACTAAGAACACTGAAACTTTAAATCTAATAAAAATCTTAGGCATAGCTCTTAAATTGAGTTTAAGAGCTCCGCACAGGTATTTAAAGTTCATAAAAATCAAAACCATAGAAATAGAAAATAAGTAATACTTAAGCATTTTCAAATGATTATTTGAGTGAGACGTTAAAACTAAACGATAAATAAACGCTGATTAAAACTTAAATGATAAATTTGAGGGTGATTCATAAAAATGATGCTATACTTTTTTCAATATTTTTGCCTCCACCCTCCATGCTACTACCCCCCTCCCCAATTTGTGACGCTATATTATGTAAACATGTAAGCAAGTCAGAAAGAAAACACAGATTATATTTCAAATTTTATCTTGGGCAGATTTCCGCATCGTGACCTGCGGCAGAATAATTTCTAAGTCTAAGTCTGCTCGTAAAAAATAAATAAATAGAAATAAAAAAACAATACAGGAGACACACTTAAAGGGTATAACTCGTAGCCACTCTCGGACAAACCTCTGTATTTTTTTTTTTTTTTTTGTTAAAAAATTGCAAGTTTAAAACACATTAGGGACCTTGGAGATTGTAGTTGGCATGATAGCTCATGAAACCGAAATAGCCACCTTTACTTTTTATACCATACTTATATACCAGTGGTTACCAACTGGCGGCCCAAGGGCCACGTTCGGCCCGCCAAGCCTTCTTTTGTGGCCCGCGAACTAAAATATATTAGTTGTCATTTTTTACGGTAAATTTTCGTAAAAAATTTATATGGGTTTAAAGTACTTTTCTTCGTTAAAAAAACTAATTTCTGCGTTTCCGTGAAATTTAAGATAAAAACGGTGCAAAAAATTTATTTCTCAGGTAAAAATCTACTTCTTATTTTAATTTGAAATTCAATACTTTTGTTTTGCACAACTTGATAAAACTCTGACAGTAATATTTAATGTTCCTTCAAACATAAAAGAGTCCTATATAAAATTTTGATAAAGTTGCGGCCCTCCATTTGACTGGTGTTTTTAATTGCGGCCCCGGCCTCATGTAAGTTGGAAACCCCAGTTATATACCATAACTACGCTTTTTAATGGCATCGATGAGCATAAGAACAATAATAATCAGATGTGTACTCATTATCTGAAAAAAACATGAAAAGAAAAACTGAAAAACATGCAAGACAGAAATATTTAACCAGCTGATTTTAAATATTTGATTTTAACCGAAATGCGGGGTGGGGTGTCACACTACTTGTTATACCCTTCTTTCCCCTTGTCATTGGCTGTCACAATTTCACAAGCCTCTTTCTACCTTCAAAGCGTGACACCGTTCATGAACAGCTATTGATAAATTTGAAAATAAAATGCGGAAATTGATCGTTCTTAGGGATGGCATTCGAAAAATAAATCAACAAATCACATAACTTACTTCAATTATTAAGCGAAAATCAAACTATGAATGAGAGTTTAGGCAGAAAAATAATATTTAACGGCTTCTACATTTGAGAGACCCAAAAAACGGTTTCGCGGAAGGATCACAAAAGTTCCGAGAATTTGGAACCTTTTTTAACAATATATTTTCAAACCTGTATTTATATTCGCATCCAATCAATAATTCATACTTTATATCATATTTCAGATATTTTTATAAAATAAAAGTAAAATGTATAAGTGAAAAAAAAGAAATAGATAAAAAAAAATTCTCTAACATTATATTAATTTAATTAGGATTAAAAAATACGCATTTATAAAAACTTCCTTCAGTTTTTTACTTTCAAATTTTCAATTAAGAATAAAATTACTTAAATATAGTATATAAAATTACATGTTTTTCTGATAATTATTCTCAATGTTTACTGCATCGCTTTATCCAAAACCATAATTCATCTTTTCTTATTCATTTTTAATTCATGCATACACCAAGAAGGCATGTTGTTCCAAGCCTGGAATTAAACTTCATGACATAAAATCTAATTTAAAGATTTTTATTCATACGACAATGAAAATATTTCATTCATCACAATAAATAGTTCCAGAATAAATAGTTATCTTTCCTTAATTAACATGTTCACAACTGCTAGTGAACTTAGTGTATGAAATTGTTATTATTTCTGTCAAAAGAAGCTTCATCATTTAGGGTTCCATAACCGATAAATATTCGGAAACGCTACGGCTCTAAATTTAATTTGGAAAAGAAAAAAAAAAATGGGACGAAAATTATAGTAACATATAAAAAAACATGGTAACATGGTTCATATAAAAAAAAAAGTTGATAAAAGGAAAAATATTAAATATTTGAAAATTACCCATCGTTTATTGACAGAAAAGGGGGGAAAAGAAGAGGAAAATGCTTACTTGCTTTTTATTCTTCACTCCGCCCGCGACATCTAACAGAGAATGGTAGTTGTCCACTTCGTCGCAATAAAAGGGAAACCTTATAGCCGAATCTACTCATTTTTCCTCGAAAAATAGCTACCAAAAAAGAAATTTATTCCTCTCCTTTGTTCTTTATTCGATCTGATTTCATATCGTGGCGCCATCTGAGACAAAAATCGTTTATCGTTTGCTTTTGTCTTCAATTTTTTTAAAAAAAAGGAAAACGAATAGTGTGCCTATTAGCGTTAAGTGCAGCAATCAAATAATCTACAATTTATTTCGGCAAGGTGCATATTAACTAGGATGGTTTGTTAAAATATTCAAATATTGCTTCATTTCTTAAACTTCCTAGATAATCTGTACATTGAAACTAAACTCTTTGGTGGATTAACAGCAACCGTTTTCGTACATTTAATGAAACATGGTGTTATTTGTTTGTTTTTAGATGCCTAAGAATCGAGTTTATACAATGAAACAGTCAAATTAGTAGGTAGAATCAATCAATTAATTAATAAACTATAAGACTAGGAAGCAAAAGGTTTAATATATTAATGCAATGAAAATTATCATATTATTAATTGATTCGTTTTTCGATATCCAAAAAATCAACCTAATACAATCAGCAAATTATTTGATAAAATTGAACGAACTTATTCAATCTGAACTTAATCAATCACGGAAGTCGTTGATGTGCATGTAACCGCTAAAGTGTAGAAATCAGTAATTCGATAAATTAGCTAAACTGAAAGTGCAAATTAAATAGGATGATCTGTTAAAGTGCTACAAAATTATTTCATTTCTGAAATTACCTAGGTTACCGCAAACTTTTTAGATATTCTCCACATCACCTACTAGGTACTCTTTAGAGTGAAAAAGGTCTCTACTGAAACAGCAACAACATTTCTGTAAACTTAAATTATCATAATGTTACTCATTTATTTTTCGCTTATCTAAAAAAATTAGTTACTACGATCAAAACATTAGTTGATAAAATCAAACATTAATTGCTTTGGAATGTTTAATACGGAGAATCTAATGATTTAAAATAGTACTATTACAATAATGATGGAAATTAACGTAATGTCATTGATTTATTTTTCAATTTTTAAAGAATCAAGTTAATAAATACTACCAAGCGATAAACAAATTTGGTGATCGAATCAGAGAAACAAACTTTTGAACTTTAAGGCTACGGAAAAAGTTAATGCGCACATTACCTGGTTAAATTACTGAAAAGACTTGATTCCGCACTTTAACAGATTATCCTAGATAACCTACACATTAGCTGGGTAATGTGCGTATTTACAGCTTTCGAGATTTAACTGTAACATGCATATTGCCTAGATAAACTGAAGAAACCTCTAGATTCCGCTCTTTAATGGATCATCCTAGTTAATCGGCAAATTAGCTAGATAATGTGCACATTAACAGCTTTTGATCTTTATCGGTAACATATAGAAGTCTCAAAACAGCGTGGAGTACAGTATGCGATATCAAAAACATAAATGCTCTTATCAGTCACAAATGTAAGAACGAGCTGCGATGGATCAGGGGTTAGAGCGCTCGCCTTCCAATGACGTGAACCGGGGTTCGATCTCTTCAATGGCTGGTCGATACGAATTCCGCATCCGGCTCGCACCGACCACAGTGCTTATGTAAAATATCCGCAGTGGTAGACGGATCATGGGTTAGAGTCCCCTTACCGTCAGGCTGACCGTAGGAGTTTTTTCTCGCCATGTAACGCAAATTCGGGTTACGTTTTACAAAAGTCTTCCACGAAGGCAAATTTCTCCCAATTCTTGATCCAGGAGTTCCCTTGTCTTCTGGATTGGGTTCAAAATTACAAGCCTACGGAGTTGAACATTAGTAGTCGTAAATTGTTATTAATTGTGTAATCTAATTAATTGAATCTAATTATAATAATGGAATAACAATAATAATGTAAGCACTCCAATAATTGTGTAATCTAATTAAAATGTAAGCACTCTAGCTAGTCGTCGAAGTTTTAATTGAATTTTATTTTGCAATCAGCAATAAAATCTGTTTACATGGGAAAAGGAAAGCTAGGATATTACAGTTCCCGCAGGTGTCAGACTTAACTGCGCTTTGCAATTTAAATTTTAGATTATTCCACCATCGTTAAAATTTACACTGAATAAAAATTTCACAACTTAAAAACAACTCCATAGCTGCATACATTTTTATTTTATTCAGTCTAAATTTTAACAGAGTATGTTACTGATGTAATTTGTATTTCGTAGATCTTTTTGGTTGAATGATAAGCGATTATTCTAAGGACATTTTTTATTGAATATGTAGCCGATTTGTTAAAAATAAATTTAAAAAAAATTATGTGTAAAGCAACTAAAATAACATCCTGTTCATCGTTAAGACACGGTTCCCAGCAGAACACCGAAGTTAAGCATCACTGGCTGCGGTCAGTCTGCGAAGGGTCCGTGGTATTGGTCTTCGTTAAACTGTTTTATCTTAAAGTGCTCGACTTCTCGCAAAGGTTGTCGGGCTACCGAAGCGGGGGTGCCATCCCCTCTGCAGAGGATCAAAATTGAGATAGTATGTCTTCGGATCATCCTCAAGGATGTTTCCCAGACCGTCGCCAATAGCCCATTGTGCAGCTCTAGTGGGACGTAAATGAACTACAACAACAATCAAGAAGATTTAGTTGTGGTAAGCCTCGTGATAAGTCTATTTGATGCAGGAATTTCCAGTTGTAACAGTGTATTAAAGATTGTTAAACATATGTCCTCGATTAAAATTAAAGCTTCATTATATACTCCAGGACAAGATTGAATGTGCGAATTTTGGTTTGTTGTTCGTAAACGTTGTAGAATGTTTTCACTCACGTTGTCTTTGTATTTTTCCCAAAGATCTTTTGGATTGGATGGAAAGCACATCGTCAATACTATTGCAAATAGCTTGCGCATTTGTTGCCATCGAGCAGTATAAGATGCATCAGCCATTGAAGTGTCCCAATGTTCGTCGTTTTCGAGAAAATTTAGTCCCGCAGTGGACTGATCGTTAAGATACGGTTCCCTGCAGATCACCGAAGTCAAGCATCACTTGCTGCGGGTGATTGACCACTTGGATCAGTCTGCGTAGGGACCGAGGGTGTGCGATATTGGTCCTCGTTAAACTGTTCTACCGTAAAGTGCTCGACTTCGCGTGCAGGTCGTCGGGCTACCGAAGCGGGGGTGTCATCCCCTCTGCTGAGGATCAAAATTGTGATGGCATGTCTTCGGATCATCCTCANAGGACATTTTTTATTGAATATGTAGCCGATTTGTTAAAAAAATTACGTGCAAAGCAACTAAAATAACATCCTGTTCAATGTGTCCCGCAGAGGACTGATCGTTAAGACACGGTTCTCAGCAGAACACCGATGTTAAGCATCACTGGCTGCGGTCAATCTGCGAAGGGTCCGTGGTCTTCGTTAAACTGTTTTATCTTAAAGTGCTCGACTTCTCGCAAAGGTTGTCGGGCTACCGAAGTGGGGGTGCCATCCGCTCTGCAGAGAATCAAATTTGTGATGGCAGGTCATCAGATCACCCTCAGGGATGTTTTCCAAACCGATGCCAATAGCCCATTGTGCAGCTTTGGTACGACGTAAATGAACTACAACCACAACAATGTTTAGGTAAATCGAATAAAAAGTTGAAGAATGTGTAAAAATATGACATTAAATATGACAAGTAGCGTAGGTATTAAAATGGTTAACAGGTAGCAATTGCCGGCCAATCACCACTTTTTTACGTTTAAGATGCATTTTATTATTTTTCATAAGTATGTACTTATCACTTATATTTAATAGCGTACCGAAAATTCACGCTTGTTTCTAAAAAAGTTTTCATTTTGGAAATGTTTACCATATTTTGAGAAATGCTTCAGAAAAAAAAATGCCCATCTTTTTATTCTGAATTTTCAATCGATTAAAAAATTTGCTTTCTAATTAATTGAAGTACTGCATAAATTTTTTATAATGAGTTATATGCTTTTAAGTCTGCAAATACGATATTTCTAAATTAAAACAAATCACCCTAAATTAATTGGCCAGGGTTGCTAGATGGAACATTTTGTCTCCAGTCTGATTTCTTAATTTACACACCGCTTATGCAACAAAACAAGTTCCCGAAGAACAAATTATATCCAACTCGAAATGAAGATTTTATTTAATAAATTTCGCTCCGTAGGCATTTAACACATAACTTGATATTTAACTAATTAAGGACCTTATTTTTTAAAAATTTGGCTCGCTAAATGAAATTATGTTTTAACTGGCAGTAATTAAACTTGTGAAAGTACTTAATATTTGACGATGCCAGCAGAACATTTGAAATTCTCATAAGTGTTTTGTAGAATATTAGACATAATTCCATCCCTAGGATCTGGAGTTAGGACCAAAATAAATTTTTAATAACTCAGTATAATAGATTTAGAGCTTCATTCCATAAAACATATTTCCCTAAAAGCTTATTGTAAGCCAAGGAGGTCATAGAGTTTAAGACACTACAAAGTCATGTTCAACAGAATGAAGGGGGCAATGAGGTCGCCATTGCGCTACGCCAGTCATTACTACTCAGACAAGCTGGTATGCATTAATCTGAAGTTGAAAAGCATACTTAAAAAAAATAAAGCTACAGTAAATTAAATAGCTTAGTATAGCTGAATTATCATCCTTAAATATTGCACTTTAAGTGGTTACCACTTTTAAAAGACGGAAATAAGAAATAAAATTCCCTGCATTATTATAAATGACTTTGAAATTATTCCCTGTATTTTTCAGGTTTTCCCTGTGGCGTAGCAGCCCTGTATAAAAACAGTATAATAGTTTTGATTATGGCAGATGAAATTGAATTTTTTCCCCTCATGATCTTTTGATATAGTAAGAAATGTGAAGGTGCAATTCATTCCTTAAAAAGAATGGGTAATTAATGATAAAAAACTAAGTAATACAAGATATAAAAATTGTAATAACTTTATTATGAATAAAACAATTAAACATCATTTCAATTACATCAGTTTCATAAACATTTCACCCCTATAAAGTTTCTTTCCTATTATAGTTTCCAATTTCAAACATTTATGCCAATGCAATTAACTCGATATAAAAATTTTGAACAAAAAATGCAAAATCAATATCTATTTAAAATGTTAAACATTTGATATCCTCTTCTATCATAAAAAACATAACAAGCAAATATTACACTTCAAATAATTGGAAGTTAAATATCAACTTTTTATTTTAAAAACGATAGAGTGAAAATAAAATTGAATAAATAAAATATAGAAATTTAATGAGGCAATTTATTATAATTCAACAATTCATCAAAAATTCAAATGAGTCTTTAATAGCCAGTGACTAATTTTGATGAAATTCCCAAAAATGTTCCTCTAAGTGCAAAGCTTCAGATTTTAAGTCTAACATTCATAGACATTCACATTCTTCAAAATAGACATAACAACTATACATCCATCCATTCATATAGGTATATTTTAATGTCCCTCACGATGAGCTAGACACGGCCAGTTTTTTCAAATGGTCCATAAATACTTGAAGACTGACATCATCAGTTAGAACAGGAGCGCCCGCACCATCCTGCTGAAAAAGAAAAAATAACCAATCGCAGATTAAAAATAAATGTTATTATGTAAAGTAAGATTCTTTTCAGAATGAATTTGGTTAATATTATAAATAATAGTTTGTTTATTTTAAAACAGAAACAATCTAACCTAAAATCTATTTCTAAATACAGTCAAAACTTCCCCAGCAGAAAAATAACTTGGGCCCTCATTGAAATTATGTTTATGAATCTTGGCACAATAAGGGTTCAATTGGCTGATATTTTCTGATATGAGCCCTCTATAGAATTGTCCAATTCACTTGATATCTTACTGCCATTTTACAACCTATAACGGCCCTATATAGAATTGTCAGATTCACCGGATATTCTATAACCATTAAGCCAATATAAGCCCTATATTGGCCCAAAATAGGCTGCTATTAACACTGCATAGAACCAATATTTAACCACCGTTGAACAGTCAACCCAATTTTTAGGTTTACGACTACTGCTGTTCAACCCCACAGCTTTGTCATTTTGAACCCAATCCAGAAGACAAGAGAACTCCTGCATCAAGTATTGGGAGAAATGTGCCTTCGTGGAGGACTTTTTTTTATGGAACTAACCCACATTTGAGTTACGAGGAGAGGAAAACCTACTACGGTTAGCCTGATGGCAAAGGGAATCTAACACATGATCCGTCTACCACTGAGGATATTTCACGTCAGCACTGTGGTCGGTGCAAGCCGGATGTGGAATTCGTATCGACCAGCCATTGCCAGGATCGAACCCCGGATCACCTCGTTGGAAGGTGAACGCTGTATTCCCCGAGCCACCGCGGCTCATAGGACCAATATTAAAACATTTAGACATAAGAATATTGGTCCCTCAGAGCATGTTCATATAGGACTCATATTGAGCCAATTTAGAGCCCAACTGGGGCCAAGGTATAATTGTTGCTATGGTTAATATCACAAAGTCAAAGGGAGACAATAAAAAAGTTTTGACATTGAAAATTAGTAATTTCGAAAATCTTAAACTAGAAAACTTTTTAGTCAAAGTAATAACTTGGAAATCATAAGTTTGAAAGCATATATTTACTTAAGAAAACATTCTTATTATGGTTTCAAATAATGATTCATAAAATTATTCAAGAAATGTCCTTTAAAATTTGTGTTAAAACATTTTAAACTCGAGGGACAACAAGAAATGTGTGGACTTTTTCCTATAATGAGAATAGCAGATGCAAAGAATTTGTTCATGATATTGAAAATTTGTGTACTTGATATCAAGGTTTGACTGTATAATTATTACTTTTAAAATAATTAGATTTTTGTAGTATCTAGAATAATTTTCAGAAAACGAATATGAAAAATAAGTTTTGTATTCTTCCATTTTACGTATGTGAATGTAGAATTATATTCAAAAGTTATATAATATTAATTAATTTCTGATATCAAGGTTTGACAGTATAATTATTATTATCAAATTAATCAGATTCTTATAATATCTAGAATATTTTTCTGAAAACTGTACCGAATGCGAAAAAATGGTTTTGTATTCTTTTATTTAAGCTTTTTCATGCGTGACTAAAGGCAGAATTATATTTAAAAGTAATAATATTGCATAGAATGATTAAAAATATTAATAAGACTGAATTAGTTCTTGATATCAGAGTTTGATTGTATAATTATTGTTTTTAAATTAATCGGATTCTAATAGTATCTTTAATATTTTTCTGAAAATGGTGTGAAAAGTGTTTTGTGTATTCGTAAATCAACTTTTTCATGCATCAATGAAAACAAAATAACATTTATAATCTAAATAACATAAATTTTAGAATTAATTTTTAAACAAAATGAACTACAATAAAATAGCAATAGAGGCACACACACAAAAAAAAAAATTTATTAATCAAAAACTAAGAAGTAACACATTATTAAAAAATTTAAAGAATTTTATATTTAAGATTTTGTTTTCTTATTAACAATGCAAACAAAAAAGTAATGTTAATTTAACTTAATACTTAAATTGTATTAATACTCAGTTTTATTAAATATGTAATTATCATCAAAAATAAATTAAAAGAGCATTGTGCTGATTGACATTTAAACCATCACCAAAACCCAAATTAAATAAAACTTATACCGTTGGGTTAGCAGGCGTCTGTGGCAGGTGGGAATTGACAGAAAAAAAATTTAAAACAAAAACTTATTAGTTTTATAACATGCAATACAAAACAAAATATTTTCAAATGCAAAATAAAAATAAATATGCAATATTTCTACATGAAATTTATTAAGAAATTTATAAGGCATTAATACTAAATTAATGAGTTATAGTTTAAAGTTATATATGATAGTTAAAAAACTCTTTATGAGTATCAAAAACTTTTGGAACTAGGGGGATACTTTTGTATTTTATGAATTTTATGAACATTTTATTCTAGTATCAATCGTTTTCCAAGTTACTGCAAGAAGCAAAATTATTTTACATTAACGTCAATTGAATATCATTTTAAAAATTTTAAGTACTAATAAATAATTGATCATTTCTAATTTAAAAGAGTATGCAATTTTTGCAAATAAAAACTTAATTTTTTAAAGAAAATTTTTTCATGGATTTTTAAGTCATAACATCACAACAAACTTATGGATATAAACAGCCACATTAGCAATACTAAATCAATAAGGCAGCAATTTTAAAATACTTTAACTTTACAAGTGTTACTCCGGAAAATTATTATAAATGTTGTTGTAGGCCATTAAGGCACTAGGGCTGCGATTGTTTTTATTTTCAAGTAGCCTCGTCTACGGGCAAGAATTCAACTTCTGCCACACCCATACATCACGTCCATTTATATGGCGGATCCATTCATTCATCCACAGATCTCAATTTTGACCTGAACCACAGAAAGATCAATCTCCAATCCAGTACCCCCAAAGGCATGATTTGTTACTGAATCATGGAGGACTTTGCGACTTGACATATTTAAAATGCACCAGTCATAGTTTACTACACGGTGTTCGGCCAGCTGGATTCGAATTCACGTTCTCACGAAGGTGAGTCCAGCACCCTACGAACCAGGCTATCTCAGTTCCAATTATTATAAATACAGTCCTGAATTCGATATGCGTCTCTAGATGAGTAATACTACTCTAAGATTAGCATGAATAAATGGTTTAAGGCTTTACTCCATATTTATTCTTCTTATTTGATTTGGAGAATCCTCTTTTTCTTTGCTGAAATAAGTTAGAAGTGTAGTATCTAAAATAAGTTATGAGAGACTTGTAGGGGCAGTAAAAGTGAAATTAACTACCTTTACAGGGCTCAATAACCAAACAAAGCCCTCATTGACAGAAAATTAAAATACTCATGATAACAAGAATGAAAAATACTTAAAAATAATAATTGACCATAAAAAAATACTTATAATGCAAATAAATATTGCCCCAGATTCTCAAAGTAAGATGATAAGTCTTGTTAAAAGGAAAGTGCGAACCCAACAATAAAAAACGCAATATGTACAAAAATATTTAAGTTTTGAATATCATATTTGGATGGCTAACAGTAGTTGTAGAATACATAAATAATTTTTTTTTAAAAATATATCTATAATTAAAATAAAAATTGTCAAGATTAAATAAAACGTGACTTAGAGAATTCACAAACATCTCAATGCACTGGAACATATTGGTGGAATGGTTACAGAGAAATTACATTTTGTTATATGAACGGAAAATATATCAAAACACTATATTTGTAAACAAAACAGTCTTTCAAAAAACAAGTTACTAAACAAAAAAAAAGTAGATAAGAATTCTCTAGTATTTGTTTTCAATGAAATCCTTAGAAGATTAACAATTATGCAGATAGAGCTAAGAACTTTAGAAAATAAAGAAAATATATTGCTGCACATTAAGTACATGACATTGTATTTCAAACTATCAGAACTCACCTGTCCTCCCCAACTGTACATGTTGTTGTGAGTCATTGATGGATTCACTTTTGAAAGCAAGAATCGAGCCTAAAATAATAAAATTGCATGCATCATTTTTCTAATTAATATATATNATATATATATATATAACATAAATAAAAGGATAAAAAGAAAAAAGAGAGAAAAATAAAGAAAATTAATGAGTTTTATTTCTTGTGCATAAGCTGCAAATAAATAGAATTCAGAAAATAAGCCAAAAATATAAAGAAAACATGGAAAATAATAAAGATTCATAAAAACAGAAGAAAAATAATTAAATTAAAATATTTTCAAAAAATATATATTAAATATATAAATATATATACACATATATACATACATATATACTAACACTATTCTTGCACTTCTTGGGGCAAAAAATTCTGAATGTGCAATCAAAAAGTTTTGATCATTTTAAGTAGAGTTTAATAACTTCATGAATTTACCTGAGAGCCACCCTGGTCGCAATCAATGTAACGTGGCATAGGGAATCTAGTCTGAAGAATTTCCTGAGCATCATCAATGGGTGCCTGCAGCAGCTGACGGAAATTTTCATGCTCTGCAGAGTTTTGATAACCAGCTTTCCTCCACTGAGCTATTGTCTAAAAAGGAAAAATGTGAAGATTTTACAGGATTACAATTTAAAAGTTAAGTTGATTTAATGCGTCAACAGGGTGTGTAGCAAAATCTTTCAACAAAAAATAAGCACCTTTTAAGTACTTTTTAAGCACTTAAAAAATATTTTAAAGCACTGTATACATTAACAAAACGCAAAATAATTTCCAAAGACTTTACATGATCATGATAAAATAACCAGTTTCTGACAAATAACTCTTTTCTTGATTATATTAGCCACCATAAAGAGAGCGAGAAATTTTCGTTTCAATTTCAGAGGGTGGAAAATGAAGCCTGAATTTGAGAATATCTAGCAAAATGCAGCGGAGTTGCACATGAGAGTGCAAGAATCTCACCAAACCCAGCTCAGTATACGCACATGCGGACTCACAAGTATTTCATCAAAAATGTTAAATGATTGGCACTTTCATACGCTACGGACGGACGGAACACTGAAGAATTGTGCTTGAATGAATATAGAAAACGTTGAATAGAACAATGTGAAAACCACTCATTTGCATAATACAAACCAAAATCGACATAAAGAAAAAATCTCACTTTAGATAAGGGAAAATTAAGTACTTTTTAAAAACACCCAATAAAAAAAAAGCATCTTTGAGGGCTTTTAAAAAACAAAAATAAGCAGGTTTAAACACATTTTGAAAACGCTCCATTATAAATTAGAGGAAATATTTTTACTGAAATCCTTAATGTCAATATAGGCAATTTTACAAAGCAAATTTCGAGTAGAAAGTTATGATTATTATATAGAAGGACTGCAAAGCAAATGCCTTCCAGCAACAGCTGGTTGTGGTCTGGAGGTGAAAGCTGGACAATTTCTTGCCTAACAACGTGATTGAAGCAATGTTGGCCGCATTATGCAAAGTCCACTTTTAACTAATTAGGATGGGTAACTAATACCAATTGATCGGAAGTTGGGTGGGCTTCTAGCTGAAACTGAGGATCGAACCCCAGTCCATTGCAACTTCGAGTCAGTTCCTTTAACAACTGAGCTCCAAATGTCAACCAATTATGTAAAATATACTGTAACTAGGAGGGTTCGCCCCCTGCTCGCTGGCGCTCGCCAACCCCCAGAACTGCTTTCGCAGTTCATTTCGGATTGCTTCGCAATCCGATGCTCGCTCATTGTATATGTTCTTAACGTCTAGCTTTTGTATACTTTTTTGAACACTGAAGTTCCGAAAACTTTTCACTGTAGAAAATTCTAAACCTGTGCATTTCAATATTAATTTGAAATTGAAAACAGTTCGCATATTTTTCTTAATCACACTATTCTAAATTTCAGTTGTTGAGAAAAGTAACTGTTGTAAGTTTTGTTTTAAAGTCTTTCCCACCAGAGGGCT